GGAGCCCAACACACTGCTGGGGCGGGGCAGGCTTGTGAACTTACTGCGCTGGTTGGGGAAGCCAGCGGCTGTTCTGATGTAAACAAACTCCGTAGACAAAAATGTGTTGTCTATTGTACTAGACTTAGCAAATATTTTGAGAGTAAACATGAATTTACCATGATTATGCAATGGGATTTGCCATTTTAATTTTGAACCGTATTAAAATATACTTCAAAGTATTGTAAAAATTGAAAGCACATATTAACTTTTCAAAAAGTTAAAAATAAATTTTAATGTTTTTCTAGAATGAATAAAAATTTTAAACAATTTTTAAGTAATTAAGTGAAACAGGAGTATGAGATATAAAAGTATACAGGCCTCACCTAGGAAGGCAAAATATATTAATAGGAAAATTAATATTTAAATATATCACTTTCTACCCACTATTACTTAGAAAGGTTTGATATTATACTTCATAGCTAGTGCGCAGAAATGTCTTGACGATTTCTCTCAAAACCCAAATGTATTGTATTCCTGCAGTTCATGAACAGATTTAGTCAACATTCGTCATGAAACTCCAGGACATTGTATTATTAAATAATACTTAATTCATAATTCACGCTAAATAAGATATATTTGGATTTTTGTAATATCACTCAGAACTAAGAATGTAATCCTTGCCACAAAATTTTAAAGAAATTGTAGGGTAAGCCTGACACCTGCTGGTTAAGATTTGTTACTTCATTTTACATTTCAAACTGCATTTTTCATTACAGCATAGAGAGAGATGTAATACACTTTGAAGCAATTCTACCTACTCGAGATTTCCTAGGTTGCTACAAATTATTGAAGCTTAATGTTCTAATAATTGTCGTAACCATAAGCCTTTCGCATTTATTCTTGCCTCTTGATCTATGGCTACATATTTCAGAGTCTTTTCTACAGGGTCAAAGTTTCATTCAGGCGTTTTTCTCTTGAGTAACTGAGTGCCTGTAGGCGAGGGGTTGCTAAGAGCTGCTAAACCTCCTGCAGAATTGCACTCCTCCGCCTCTCCTTTTTCGGAGTCCTACGGCACAACATACTGGTGGTAATGCTGCTGTGTCCCCCTCCTAGGACAGCAGCCTGCACTGCCTCCCACTCTTCTGGCTGACCCGAAGCACAGCCCTGGGGTCACCTATTATTACTCAGGCCATCCCAGAGCCTCAGTTTCCTCATTTGTAAAACAGGGCTAATAATTCTGCTTCCGGTTGTTGGGGCATTAAATTAGGTAATGCATGACAAGCACTTAGCTTCATTACTGTGATTCGTTAGCCTCAGAAGACATTACTGCATGTGTCCGTCATCGGTCGTTAGAAAATGTGCCAAGGTAGGACTATGACTTTTCACCTCATTCGTATTGCCTCATCCACTTTTTAATCCCCGTTTTCTTCCCTTTTGTACTGTGAAGATCCCCTTCATTGCCAGACAGACTTTGCAGTCCCAGGGACTAGAACTGTCGTGCATTGGCATGATAAAAATCACCTGGAGACTGGAGAGAAGTGCCCCCATGGGTTTTCTGAACATTTGAAGCTTCCGTAGCTTTATTCACCTGTTAATTAGTGTGTGCTCATTAACCCTAACTTTGTATTTGCTAGAAAAAGGGATAACCATCATGACTTCAGTAAAGAAGAACAAGTAAGGTGATTAGTTCAATAAATGTTAATTAGGTGCCAACCATAACCATATGCAGTTCCTGGGAGAAGTGCTGGGAATACAAAATGAGGAAAGAGCTGCCCCTTTCCAGAAGTGTCTTGTTAGGGAACCATTGAGCCTGAGGGTGGTCTGGGAGACTTGTGACACCCCCTGCTCACTTGGCATTCAGTTGCAGAAAATGAAAACTACTTTAGCTGGTTTAAGCAAAAAAGTGTTCGTTGTCAACTATTCTCTGGTTTCTAAAATGGTTGGAATGGGGAGATGGGGCGGAGGGGGGGTTGGGATGGGAGAAATTGACAAAAGAAAACTGTACTTGAAAAATAACTCAATAAATTTAAAAAAGAAGAAGAAGAAAAAAAATTACAAAAAAAATAATAAAATGGTTGGAATGGCTGAAAAAGTAGGCAGAGACTCCAGGAACAATTTCTAGCCCCAGAATCTCATTCTTGCAGAAGCAGAAAGCACTGAGAAGCTGCTTGCTATAAAATCACCCTGCCTTAGCTACACCAGCTGTGGATGCCTTGTATCCTGCCTTGATCCCCTGTTAACTCAGGTTTGAATGAAGAAACTTAAATCATCCCTGAAGCTGAACCTGCAAGGGCATCTGCAGATGCAGCATTTCATGTTTACAGTGCTCAGAGACACAAGAAGGAAACCAGAATTGATGCCAACAGAGGCAGTCCTTAGTAGCTCATACATTGTTAAAGAATGTACACATTTTAATGTCTCTCGATACTGCTCAACTGCTTTTTTAAAAGGTTGGAAAAATTTACAATGGCAATGACAGCAAGTGAGACTCCGGTTTTCTGGTGCCTTAAAGTATCAGGGGATGGTAATGTTAATGGACAAAAATGGATATATATATATATATATATATATATATATATATATATATATATAACACATATATATATATACACACATATATATGTATATATATAATTTGATTTTATTGATTATGCCATTACAGTTGTTCTATTCTCCCCCTTCATTCCCTTCCACCCTGCACACCCCCTCCCTCACCATTCCCCCCCCTTTAGTTTATGACCATGTGTCTCAAGTTCTTTAGATTCCATATTTCCCATACTATTCTTGCCCCCCCCATCTATTTTCTACCTACCATCTATGCTACTTATTTTCTGTACCTTCTCCCCCCTTCTCCTCTTCCCACTCCTGTTGCTAACCCTCCATGTGATCTTCATTTCTATGTTTCTGCTCCTGATCTAGCTGTCCTTTTAGTTTGGTTTTATTTTAGGTGTGGTTCTTAATAACTGTGAGTTTGCTGTCCTTTCACTGTTCATCTTTTTTATCTTCTTTTTCTTAGATAAGTCCCTTTAACATTTCATATAGGAAGGGCATGGAGATGATGAACTCCTTGAACTTGACCTTATCTGAGAAGCACTTTATCTGCCCTTCCATTCTAAATGAGAGCTTTGCTGCATAGAGCAATCTTGGTTGTAGGTCTTTGGATTTTATGACTTGGAATACTTCTTTCCAGCCCCTTCTTGCCTGTAAGGTCTCTTTTGAGAAATCCAGATAGTCTGATGGGAACTCCTTTGTAGGTGACTGTCCCCTTATCTCTTGCTGCTTCTAGGATTCTCTCCTTCATTTTAATCTTGGCTAATGTAATGATGTGCCTTGGTGTGTTTCTTCTTGGGTCCATCTTCTTTGGGACTCTCTGAGCTTCCTGGATTTCCTGGAAGTTTATTGCCTTTGCCAGATGGGGAAGTTCTCCTTTATTATTTGTTCAAATAAGTTTTCCACTCGTGGCTGTTCCTCTCCCCTTTTTGGTACCCCTATAATTTGGATGTTGGAATGTTTAAAGATGTCCTGGAGGTTCCTAAGCCTCTCCTCATTTTTCCAATTCTTGTTTCTACATTCTTTTCTGTTTGGTCATTTTTTTCTTTCTTTTGGTCCACTCCCTTGATCTGCACCCTAGTTTCCTTTCCATCACTATTGGTTTCCTGTGCATGTCTCTTCATTTCAATTAGTTTACCCTTCATTTGTTCCTCTAATTTGTGACTAAAATCAACCAGTTCTGTGAGCATCCTGATCACCAGTGTTTTGAACTGTGCATCTGATAGGTTGGCTATTTGTTGGTCACTTAGAATGCTTGGCTCTGGGGCTTCCTCTTGAAGCTGTTCTTCTTCTTGAGCCATAATGTTTTGGCCTGTTTGCGCCTGTTATGTATGAGGGGCAGAGCCTTAGGTGTTCACTGGGGTAGGGCGACCCAGTTGCTGGGTTGTGATGCTGTTTGTGGGCATGGGGTCAGACGGGCAATGGCGTTTGTTCTGCTCTCTCGTATTTTGGTCCCCTCTGCTGCTTCCCGCAAGCAAACCTGGCCCCCCTGATGCTGGCTCTGAGGTGTGTGGGTCTCTCCAAAAAACTGTCTGTGAGCCTGGGAACTTCTCCTTGGCATCTCGACCCCAAGTTTTTCCAATTGGTGCTTTTAGGCCTTAATTCTCATCGCTGGGGCCCTAGCCTACACGGTCTATCTCACTGCTCAGTCCTTCACTTGGTTTATCTGTGTGTGAATGTGTGACCGTGGTCAGCCAGCCGCCCTGCACCCTCACTGGGTCTGCCCGTTGCCACCCCACACCTGGGATCTGCCTACTGCCACCTGCACTCCTGGGTCTGTCTGGCCGATTTTTCCTGCCCGACCCTGCTCCACTGACTCCACCCCTCTGACCGGTCTGGATGAATGGTTCATCATTGTCAGACTTCCGTACAGTTCAATACAGTCCGCACAGTTCCGTGTTTTGGCTGAGTTTTTGTTACTAAAACTTTGTTGTCTTTAAACTTGCTTGTACGAGGAGGCATAATGTTTCCACCTCTGCCTCCATCTTGGCTGGAAGTCCCCAAAATGGATATTGAGTAATAAGGGGCGGCCTGTGCTTTCTGCCTTTCTCTCACTCTGTTTTTCTTGGAATAAACATTTTCCTATAGATTGCGGTTCGAGGCAACCTCCTGCTTGAAAGCTGAGGAATATAAATTAACTACTCTATGTTGATGGCTTACAAACAAAACAAGGCACTCATTTATATAATATAGGCCAAGCAATTTTGGTTACTGTTGAAAACTACTGAATAAAGTAAGAGGAAGGCTTATTTTACTTTTATTAATCTCTTTGATTTCTACTTTCCTCTTTCTTCTCAGGTTTTCCCTCTTCTCCCTCCTCTAGGTTGTCTCCTAAACAGCTACCACCGCCTGCCTTAGAGAACGGATTTGGGCTTCCAGTCAGCTGACTTGACCTGTGAGGCAAGATTTTGCTCAAGAACTTTAACTGCTGGAGGATGTAACAAACATTTCATCCACGAGTTAGGGAGTATAATCACCATGATGCAGATGTTTATAAGCACAAAGGATGGCATAAAAGACAACCACATACATTTCTTAATTCCTTTAAGGGCCTTACAATGACTGGATCTTGGAACAATGTGAATTTTTTACGTAGCATTAAAAAATGCATACAGGCTATTTATAATACACTGCCATAATGAGATCCTATTCTTTTATGGTACATGTGACATCCATATGCATAGAAAAATATCTAAAAGGACGAAGGATAAATGCTGATGACAATTATAATGGGGAGAGGGAGACAAAGTGGATGTTTTTACTCTATTCCTTGTATTTCCTGAATTGTTTGAAAATTTTAAAATAAGTGATATTACTTTAGTAATCAAATGGGAAAAATAAACCTCTTAAAAGGTGAGAAAAAATCATCAAAATAATTATATCATAAATACCTCAAGGGGCCATGTAGGCTCAAATTACATAACTGATAAGAATATGTTTTTGTACACTGTAGTATTATGAAAAAGCATTGTAGTAAATTTTCCTAAGTCCCAATCTCTCCTTCTTACTTAGAATAATAGGTCTGATGCCTTTAGGTATGTTTAATTTCAGAATTTTATTTTAAATGGATTTTTATGGCATAACATAATATCTATGGTACTCTTACTGAAATCATTTATGATGATATCAAATTCCAATAATTTTTGCAGCAAGTTTTCATTAAATTTTCTTAAAAAGTAGAAAGTTTACATTGTGTACCATCTTGAACTTATTTTCTTACATTTTCCAAATAATTTCCTGTAATTGTTAGTTTCAAAGAAAATTTATGGGAAATTACAGAGCAACTGCAGAGTCCTTTACAATGAATTTCACAATAAAAATAATTTTTTGCAGGTTGAAAGTTTATCAGAAGGTAAACTTTGGATTATAAATATATTTTGGCAATCTGGTGGATTTAAGGGCACTTTAAAAGTTGTTCAGTTAAATCACCACAGGTGCGACATGTTTGATGCAACCCAGTCTATAGGTCCAACACCATCGATCATCTCTTGCTGCTAAAACACAGGGATAATTTATCTAAAAAATTTGTGAGAACTACGAAGAGTCTGATGTCTTCATATAGATTCTTTTATAAGTTGTGCTAATCTCTGGAAGGCCTGGAATTGAAAGTAGATAAGAATTAATAAAATTAGAATGTTATTTAGGAAAAGTGATGGGACTTTAAAAATTCAAACACAGAATATCCAGCTAAGGTTGAGATAAGGCAATGAAAACTAAGTTTAACATCAATGTTATTGTGGTAGGATGCCGTCAGTGTCACAATATGTGTAGAGATAAGTATGTTAGATGCTCAGGATTTTTCTCTTGTTGTTCTTGTAGCCCTCAAGGTCATAATTTTCTTTTTTTTCCACATCACATTTTATTTTTTCATATAATCTCTCACCTGCACATATATACATCCTATAGAGTTTCAGTTGTCCAACTCTATTATATAAAAACAAAAAAACTTATGCAAAGCATTTTTAATGACATAAGAAAGCAAGTAAATACAGAACACACAAAGAACCAATCCATCTGCAAATATAAGTATAAACTCATCTTAAAGTTAATGGCACCATTCAATTTCTGGGTCTTTTGTTTGGATTCCCAGACACACAGTTCTTAGGAACTCATTTCTTTGCTTGTTATTTTGGTTAAAGGCAGACTTTGATTAATTTGAGAATATTATTTTCTGTGACTTGCTGATTTCTTTCCTTAATGAAAGAGGCAGCTGGCTTCAATTTATATCTTTGGCTTATGTTAATTCTACAAAGGAAAGAGATTTTCTTCATCCCTTATTGCTAATCAATGAACACTCTTCAGTTGGTCTGAAAACTATTCATGAAAACAATAAAATTAAATTCCAACTCATTCTCTTCATTTGTTTATAGAAGTCTAGCAAAAAAGTAAAGTGTCTTTTAATGGTAGTTCATGACTTTTCAACTAATACCTGTTTTTGACAGGTAGAAGACATTAAAGCATATTGGAATTCATAAAATAAACGTATGCACCAAGAAATAGAGTTGATAGTGTTACTCTGAAGAAAATACTGTACTTACCATATCCATTTGTTCTGGAGAAGCCAAAGAGAAGGATGCTCTGAAGTAAGGGCAAGGAGCTGAGTTATCAATGTAGAAAGCATTTCCAGGAACCATTAGTATCTAAGAGAGTTTATGGAAAATAAGTGACACCCCATTAAAGAAAAATGGAAAGAAAATATAGGTAAATCAAAGCTCAGAATGGGGAAAGACTTTTAAAAATTAAAGACAATTAATCAAATCACAAGAAAAATTTATAAAAATTCTGTATATCATACAATAAACAAAACTAAAAGCACAGAAATTGGAAAAATGGTTACAATGAATATGGCAAATGCAACATCTTCTCCACATAAAAAAAAAATTCACAGAAACTGAGAAGAAAAACACTAGATTTCTAGCCTTAATGAGCAAAGGGAAGCTTACAAAGGAAATAAAAATAGTAAATGTGTAACCTACCCAGACAAGTAATGTAAGTTCAAACAGTAAGATACCATTTTAAGTTATCAAATTTGGAAATGACTTTTAGGCTGGGATCTGAAAGACAGGTAGGTGTTGGCCAAGCAAAATGTAGAGGAAGTAGGGGAAGAGTATTTTAGGGAGAATATGGAGTGTAAAAGCCCTGAGATGGGAAGAAAATTATCTGCCTTAACTGAAAGAAGGTAAAAAAGTTAATACATGAAGTGAAAGATTAACAATGTTAAGTAAGCATGCCCAGACACAGTGGTGAGAACCACTGTTATTATACATGCATATACATATGCATGTATATTACCACGCATGTATTGCATACATGTATTGCACATATATGTCCTCTGCTTCCTGGGCATATACATGTATTCGATTCCCCAGCCTCTTTCTAATGATATGTGGACACATGACTGCATCCCAGTCAATGGATGTGAAGTCATGTGTACTACTTCGAGGCCTGACCTGTGAAATTCTTCCCTTGTAGGGTCCACCATCCTCTTCCCATTTTGTAGCCATGTGGAACCTATATGTTGAAGACTGAAGAACAAGGAGAAGGAGGGAACCAGGGTCTCTGAATCACTGCTCGGAGCAGACCTGCCTGCAGATCACATATTTGAAAATTTTGTGTGAGTTGGAATATACTTTGGTTGTGTTAAGTCTTCAAGATTGTTATGTAGTACCATAAAAAGCATTTGTGACATTCAAAAGCATTAAGTAACTGCTTGCTGTTACATGGTATAAGTCTGGGCACTGTCTGCTAAAGTAAGATGAGTAGGGAGTGAAAGGATTTGACGCACTCTGGGGAAAATATTTCAAGGAAGTTAGGTTTTTTTGGTGTCCTTAGTAACAATAAAATGAAAAAATCACTCTCGCCAATATAGCGGAAAAGTTGTGGGATATGCTAGAAGCAAGTTGCTGAAAGGAGGGAGCGGTAAAAACAGCTTTACAAGATGACCAAAGTCTGGGCTCAGGCAGTGGTGATAAAACTGGAGATTATTTAGAAAGAGTAAAGGTACATGCAATAGGATATGTGGAATAAATTAAGAGGACTGAAAAAAACTACAATAAAATATGAAATCTACACCCTTGGCACATAGCTCAGAGATACATAAAAACAGCCACTTACCAAGTGTTCTTAAAGATAATGGCATTGATAGAAAAGCAAAGAAAATATAAGATTGACTTGTTATACTAAAATGCATTTCTTTGAAGTAAATCAGTTCAGTATTTATTAAGTACCTATTGCGCGCTGTTACTAGGATTAGAACAATTCATAAATCATGCGTCCTGCCCTCCAGCGAGATGCGCAGACAGGAGGAACGCGCTTCCGGCGCAGTGGGCTAGCCCGGGAGTCCAGCCAGTCACCACGTCTGGCCCTCGGACTCCTTCATCTCGTGCGCACTAAGGAGCAGGCCACTTCTCCAACATCAAACCCTGACCTTTTGTATGACCTATTCTGTTGCTTTGAGACAAAATTAATGTTAGAAATAGATTTTAGTTTTTATAAAAGAGTGACAAATACGATAAAGGAATTAATGGAGAAAGGATGATTTATTTGGTAAATTGGAAAGTTAAACAGAAAAATATTTGGATTTCTAAGCTTAATCAATGCCCCTGAATGAAATCTAAATAGATTTATTATTTAAGTACAAAAGGAGAATTTAAAAAACATAGAATAAATCCTCATGGGCTAATTTGAAGTGAAAACAGCAGGACAGAAACCTTTTTGTGTAATTTTAACCATGTAAAATAATTGTACAAAACACCAACTACATGTAAGCTCTCCAAGGAAATACACCACCAATGGCCATAAAATCTGGGTGGTGAAATTATGGTCCATTTAAAAAATTTTTACTATACTTTAATCTTAAACACCAAATGGCTAATACCTAACAAGCATGTACTACTACTTTAAGTGCTTTGTACATATTAATACAGTACAATCATACAATTAATACAATATAATCATAGCAACTTTGTGATGGAGGAAGTCTCATTATTACTATTTTACAGGTAAAACTCAGGGAGGGTAACCTACCCAAAGCCACATGTCCAATGAAGGGTGGAGCTGGGACTCAAACCCAAGGAATGCGGCTCCAGAGACTGTGCTCTTAGCCATGAAACCAACCAGTAGCTGAGATGAATGACTATATTCCCATTAATTTAGACCAGAAGAACAACATATCTGATATTAAAACATGAATTGGGGTGGTGGACACTGATAAAAATTTCTCTTCATTTTTTTTAATCCTCATTGGAAGACATTTTTTTCATTGCTTTCTGAGAGACAGGAAGGGAGTAAGGAAGGGAGAGAAACGTCGCTGTGAGAGAGACGCAATGAGTGGTTGCCTCCCATCCTTGCTGGGACCAGGGATTGCCTGCATCTGGACTGAGGATTGCAGGCTCCCTGACTGACCAAATCTGCAACCTAGGCATGTGCCTAAATCAGGAATTGAACCTGTAACATTTCAGTTACTGGTTGTCGGCCCAATTATCTGAGCCATACTGTCCAGGGCTCCATTTTTGTTTTTTTAAGATTTTTTAAAATTTATTTTTTAGAGGGAAGGGAAAGGAAGGATAAAGAGAGGGAGAGAAACATCAATGTATGGTTGCCCCTCACCCGCCTCCAACTGGGGACCTGGCCCGAAACCCAGGCGTGTGCCCTGACTGGCACAGGGCTCCATTTTTAAGTAAGAAACTATGTTAAAGAAAAAGCTCCCCCCTTTTTACCTCTTTCTTAATGGCTTTTTCTTCAATCAGTTTTTTTGCATCATTAATGCCCTTAATTTTAATCCATACAAACATTCCAGCAGTAGGAACATGCCACTCTGCCAAACCTGCAAATAAAAGAAGGGAACAAATATCTCCTGAAGCTACTTTTGATGTCACACATATCGGTTAATGACATAATTGCAGGAACTGTAAACTAGTATTTTCCATAAAGTTTCCTTCAGTGGTAGTATTTACAAATATATAATTTTATGAGTCCTGAAAATTGGTGTTTGAGTTTTATTTCAAAAAGCGAGTGAGAGAGGGGTTGAAGAGAGGGAGGGAGACTCATGTATGCGTATTTACAATTTTGGTTAGTCTCAGGTTAGTGCAAGACATCTCCTGCTTGCGTCTGCTTTCCCTGGTTAGAACCATGCCTAAGCCAAATATAACTCTTTCAGTTTTAGAAGAGCATTCTTCAACTCTTTCTGAATTCTTCCTGTGTTTTAATAAATCCTATCACTTATGTAATGGTGTAGAAGTCCAATGAATGAAAGTTGCTATCAGAATGTAATCACTTAGGAAAAGAAGTACTTAAGTTCAGGAATTCCAGGTGCATTCCATAGGCTTTATGCTTTGTTGATTATTAGGACAGAAAGACCAAGAAGGAAGGGCAATTATTTCGATTCTGATTGTTATCTTCTTTAAAAAATAAAGCTGCTATTGATTAAAACCTTGTCTTCAACATCGCTGTACAAAAGGTCGAGTAGAGTAGCACCGTATGGTAGCAGAATGGCAACTCTATGAAAACACGAATTCTGTTTTCACCAAGACTTCATAGAAAACTAGGTATGACAGAAGTAAGGAACTGGTATTTTTTGCTTACTATTATTTATGCCAAAGGCATTTTTAATGATATAATTAAAACCATGCCATTCACTTTACTCTCTTATTTTAATAGGAAATTAAATATAAACCATCCCTCAATCAAATCAGCAATAGATAGTATTAGCCAGATAAATGAGATTAGTGACTGAAAGGCAAATCATTTGTAGTGAGAAATCTTCCATAGATTTGTACTATTTTATCTGTACATAATCTAGTTAGAAAAGGAGCATGTTGTTTGTTTCACAATTCCTCTTCTATTTAGAGGAAAAGTTTGAAATAACTCCAAAAGCTTTTGAGTATACAGGTTATTTAGCTCGAGATAACTTATTGCTGGTTGATTATTAGACTATTTTTTTTAAACCACAAATTCTTTGCAGCGGACAGGTAAAACGGAGATGGCGGAAATGTGCCAGAGTTTGCAGACTGTTAGTTCTGAGATTGTTTATAGGGTAATATTTCTTACAAAAATACTCCTGGACCCTTGTTTCCTGCCCCCCCCCGGATTATTAACAATACTATGCAGTGTTTATCACCCATTCATATCAGTGCTGCTGGTCAGCACAGGACGGGATATACATTCCACTCACCACTTAACCACTTATCTGCAGCTGCCAGTATTGCATCCTTCTGCTTCCTGTAGTAATCAGTAACCCTAGAAGAAGGAAACAATGAAAAGCATGTGTTTAGTACATTGACTGCAGCAGCTAAGAGGCTCTATAAGAATGTTTTCTATCATGATTAAAATGAATGTCTGATAAGGGAATAGAGCATATTTATTTGACCCGGTGGTAAACTTTTTACCATTATGTTTTCCCCTTTATTGTGGAATAATGAAAAATTGAGAATTATAAAGTCCATTTCTATGTAAAAAATGGGGCCTAAAATATAATACCTGTCTACATGAGCCAGGAAGCCCTCTTCTCCCCATTGGTGAAGAAGATGGGATATCATAAGCTAAAAGAGATAAGACAGTAACAAATGTCAGGGTTCATCCTCTAGAATGTGTTTTTTGCCAGTCACTCCTGATTACATGTAAACCACCATAAGTAACTATAACAAGCTGAACCAAGCTTTATACAGTCAATGATTTAGAATAAATGTTAATAATAGTGACAATAAAAATGGTAACTATTTATATAGTACTTGCTATGTGCAGGGAACTATTGTACTATGTTAATATATTTTAGCTAATTTAATCTTGTAATAACCTTATGAGGCAGGTAATTATTTCTATTTTACTGATGGGAAAACTGAGAATCGAGGGTTAAGGTAACTTCCTGAGGTCACACAGGCAGTCACAGAGCCTGGGTTCAAGTCGGACTGTCCAGCGCCAGGTCTGTGCCACTGACAGCCATACTGCACTTCCTCTGTAACATGAGAAGTATACAGTACTTCCAACATATGTGGTGTTTTTCTGTTTGAAATGGGAATTTTAAGCATCATAAATGGATAGTGAATTTTTGTTGATAACAGATACAAAAATTTTAAAAAAGAAAGGAAAACATCTCCAACTTGATAAGACACTTTGTGGAATGTAAAATATCAAACAAATATCCTATTCCACATAAACTTTTGTATGCATTTTGAGTTCTTAGGTAGCAATTCTCTTCTTATGATCTAATTCTCAAGATTACATTAGGGATGGATCCAATATTTCTCAAAGCTGGTGAGGAAATGTATACATTCTCCAAAATTAACTTTATTTTAATTCAAATACACACCAACCAGTGTTTTGGGGAAGGTTAGCACATGTTCAGTGAAGGTGATGAGTCACTAGGCAGGTTTGCAATTCTTGTTCTTACTATAGGTTTTAAGACAAAGAAGCTCAAGTTCTAGTGCTTCATCAGGCTCAGTTCCACTGCCTACAGTTCAACAGTTTTTATGGAGTTCGGGGGCTGGATGCTAGGGGTGCCAGATGAGTGAGATAGCCTGACTCTCAAGGAGCTTAGTCTACGCTACGAAATAACACCAGGTTACAGCACCAGCTCTCATTTGTCTGATAGAGTAAACATGTGCAGTGTCAGGTTTTTAAATTCAGTTCATACTGGCACTAGAGATTCAATACAGTGATTTTCCTCCCTGCCACCTTAAATTAATCTTACTTGCCAACATCTATTTTCTATTCTTTTTTTTTTAATTGATTATGCCATTACATTTGTTCTATTTCCCTCCCCCTCCATGCCCCTCCACCCTGCACACCCCTCCCCCACCATTCCCCCCCTTTAGTTCATGAACATGTGTCTCGAGTTCTTTAGATTCTGTATTTCCCATACTATTCTCACCCTCCCCCTATTTTCTATCTACTGTCTATGCTACTTATTTTCTGTACCTTCTCCCCCCTTCTCCTCCTCCCACTCCCCTGTTGCTAACCCTCCACGAGATCTTCATTTCTATGGTTCACTCCTGATCTAGCTGTCCTCTTAGTTTGCTTTTGTTTTAGGTGTGGTTGTTAATAACTGTGAGTTCGCTGTCCTTTCAGTGTTCATCTTTTTTATCTTCTTTTTCTTAGATAAGTCCCTTTAACATTTCATATAATAAGGGCTTGGTGATGATGAACTCCTTGAATTTGATCTTATCTGAGAAGCACTTTATCTGTCCTTCTATTCTAAATGAAAGTTTTGCTGGATAGAGTAATCTTGGTTGTAGGTCTTTGGTTTTCATGACTTGGAATACCTCTTTCCAGCCCCTTCTTGCCTGTAAGGTCTCTTTTGAGAAATCAGCTGACAGTCTGATGGGTCAGACTGTCCTACTCCTTTGTAGGTGACTGTCCCCTTCTAGGATTCTCTCCTTTATTTGAATCTAGGCTAATGTAATGATGATGTGCCTTGGTGTGTTCCTTCTTGGGTCCACCTTCTTTGGGACTCTCTGAGCTTCCTGGATTTCCTGGAAGTTTATTGCCTTTGCCAGAATGGGGAAGTTCTCTTTTATTATTTGTTCAAATAAGGTTTCCACTGGTGGCTGTTCCTCCTCCTCTTCTGGTACCCCTATAATTTGGATGTTGGAATGTTTAAAGATGTCCTGAAGGTTCCTAAGCCTCTCCTCATTTTTTTGAATTCTTGTTTCTACATTCTTTTCTGTTTGGTCATCTTTTTCCTTCCTTCTGGTCCACTCCATTGATTTGAGTCCCAGTTTCCTTTCCATTACTATTGGTTTCCCGTGCATTTCCATTCATTTCAATGAGTTTAGCCTTCATATGTTCCTCTAATTTTTGACTAAAATCAACCAGTTCTGTGAGGATCCTGATCACTGGTGTTTTGAACTGTGCATCTGAAAGTTTGGCTATTTCTTCATTGCTTAGATTTATTGGCTCTGGGGCTGTGAGTTGTTGTTGAGCCATGTTTTTATCTGTTTGTGCCTGTTACGTATGAGGAGCGGAGCCTTAGTTGTTTACCAGGGTGGGGCCACCCAGGTGGCTGGTTTGTGGCGCTGTATGTGGGGGCGGGTCAGAGAGGGAGCAGTGGCAGTCCTCTCTGCTCGCCCAGTTGTCCCACTGCTCGCCCCCGCCTGTTTATCTGAGCAGAAATGTATGAGCCCACGGCCCTGTGCTGTTGGGTCTCAATGCTCACCTCTTCACTGGTTTATCTGCATGCAAATGTTCCACCGACCACAGACAGCCAGCTGCGCCTCTTCCCTGGGTCCGCCCATAGCTACCCTGCACCTGGGATCCACACCTTCAGCTGCCTGCACACCGCCCTGGTAGGGGATCTTTTTGGCCAACCCGCTCTGCTGCTGGCTTCACCCCTGTTACCAGTTTAGCTGAGCATTTCGTTGTTTTCGGACTCCACATTGTCAATTTCCTGTGTGGTTTGGTTGCATTGATTGTTATTAAAACTTTGTTGTTTTTAGATTTGGTTGTGCGCAGACACAAGGTATTTCCACCTACGCCTCCATCTTGGCGGAACCTGTATTTTCTATTTTTATCAAATTAAAATTTTTTTCTATTTCCTAAATTGTCCTTACCTGTGTAAAAGTGCTGGTGTGCAATGTTGAGACTTGTGTGTGTAAAACAATTCTCTCTATCAAGGGTTTTGGACCAGATATAAACCCTATTCTCAACCTACACAAAAAAGAGAAAAGGAACAATAGCACACTCCTGTATCAACAATGAGTCCCTGTCACTCTCCTGATTTCTTTAGGGAGAGGGTCGTGACCTGGGGCAAATGGACCTAGATAATTAAAATGTTCTAATAAAGCTAACTACTTTTTGTTTACCATTCAAATTTAAATTTAACTGTATATTTAAAATATAATGCAAGTTTGACCAAGGATTCTTAAATGTGCTCTTTTGTACATGAAACCAAACATCTGATCTATTCCTCTGCAGCTTTAATGTCCAGGTTCCTTTGATAATTGGAGATGGACAGAGAGAAAAGGCCTATATTCAAATTGCTAATTTAACTGGTGTGTTAAGGCAAGTAGAATACAAGCTTCTTAAATGAGAAGAATGTCTTGGACTGAAAGTTGCTGAGGCACATTTCTATCTCTTTTAGTTCTAGCCTTGAGTTAGAGACACAGGGCCTTACCCAGCAGACAGGACCTTCGAAAAAGAGTCAGATCTGATGACTCGCCCATCAGTGTCCATGGAAAGAAATGACGGTGTCCAGGGCTTGAAATGCAAAGAGTAAACACTATTGGTTTGAGAACTCGGTTAGTGACTGTGTAATTACTTCCTGTGGAGACTGGACAGGGCGTGGATTCGGACTGACAGCAGCACAACAATCTTTCCCATTACCTTTACCTCAGCCCTCTAAAGTAGAATACAGACAGAGATGCGTGTTCTTTTATTAGCATATGCCTGTCTTCATGACTTTTCTGCCAAAAGTACAAACAAGGGTTTACCCATTTTCTTAAGATGCCATTATTATGAATTTAGGTCCTCCTTGCCCCATGGGTTGAAATCCAAGATGAACAGATTTAGAGAAAGGATTCAAGAAAACCAAGGTTGGATAAGATATACTAAGCACAGAGGACCAGCAGCATTCAGTATTGTTTATGGAGAGAATGCTGACCCTCAGAACCAAAAATTTATAAACAAGGTGAGACTGAAGGGGAGAAACTTTGTCAACATGAAATACTGACTGAAGTATTAACTCAAGAAGTAGATGCGCACAAGGAAGGGGCCGTGGCCATGATGAGAGTGAGGTGCAACTCATTCAGGCAATACATCCAGAAAAATCAAGAGTTTTTCTTTTCTGTAGATTTAAATAAGGAATCAAATCCACAGATGTATTCTTTGCAGCCCTGACAGCAAATAAAGTGTTTCATTTTGAAAAATCAGGCATTGGGAGCATGCATCGCTCCCAGTGTCCACTGGGAAAAGTGGCTGTGAGAAGCGGTGCACTACGGAGGGGTCTAAAACCCAGTGTTCTGCAGGTGCGACCCAGGACCTTCACCACGGGCAGGGCAAATCGCGTCCTGCTGCCGGGAATGCCTGATCTGATGTCCGCGAGGGACAGCACGAATGGAGCACAGCCCTTCTCTTTCAGCTTGAACACAGCTTCCAAACCCTTTTCAGACATCATTCCAGTCAGCCGATACCAAGAGACTGTAGATGGTATGTAAGAGGAAACCCCTTCAGACCCTGGTACCATGATTAAGGAGCTGTGCCCTAGAAAATGGAGGTCACGACCATTGACCCTGACTTTCTCTTTTGTTCAGTGTATGGTACAGAGAGCCAGCCACTATTTTTTAGGGTAAGTAATTCCTAGAAAGAGCTGTAATATCAGCAATGGAAAGTACTAATTCCATAATAAAACTAAAAGACTGAAAGTTGAAGTGGAAGCAAATTAACAATCATTAAATTCCAACGTAAAAGTGGATTAGCAGCCAGGCTAAAATCAAGTGCAGGACAAGAACTTACAACAATTTATCTTCTAACTGTGAAATAAGTTCACATCGTCACTTACCTTGTTGAACTGGAGAAAATAGTACGGATCATCTTCTATTATGAGGAAATCATATTTTCTTGCAAGCTAAAAAAGGTTAAAGCAGTGCGTTTAATTCTTAAGAACTATCTAAAGTTAAAAGCATTTGGAATCACAATTCTTTGTGCTCATTCATTGGAAAAGCTACTGACAGCCTACTGTCTAGACAATGAAAACAAAGAGACAGGCTGTGAAGGCTCTTTTCTCTCATGGAACTTCCATTCTAGTGGGAAAGGCAGAATACATATAAGCCAATGGATAATGAGCAGAAGTGTTAGATGGGAGACATTAAGGTCTAGGCAAAACATTAAACAGGGTGATGTTTGAGAAAGAGAGAGAAACAGAGTAGCTATTTTGGGTTGAATTGCTGGGAAACCATTCCTGACAAGATAACACAGGCCTCAGAATGACAGGAAAGAGACAGTTGTGCAAATATCAGGGAAGAAGCTTCTAGACTAAGGGATGAGCAAAGAGCAGAGGCCCTTGGGTGAGAGAGAAGCGTGGCCCATGTAAGGGTTAGAGACATGGCCAGTGTGAATGCCGCAAGGGGGCTGCGATGACAGTAAGAGCCTCTGCAAGGCAGACACGAAATTTTGGGATGTTAACTGCACGCAGAAGCCACCGGAGGACTGGAAACAGGGGGCCCTGAGACTGCCTTTACGTTCCCGTTTCAGCAGGGGAAGGACATGGTGGCTATGTGAAGAATGGTTAGACGTCAAGAGTGGAGAGCAGCGGGAAGTCTGTGCAGACCGGGGAGGGAGGGAGGCAGTTTCTGAGGTGGGGACAGCAGTGGCTGGAGGGAACCGGGCGGATTTGGGTAAACTGGTTGGTAGAGCCCACAGAATGGATTGGATGTAGCGGTGGGGGTGGTTGGGGAGGAGAGGGAAAGAGGAACGAAAGGTAATTGATCATGCTGGCACAGTGTATGGAGATGAAGGATGTTAATTGGTTGGGGATGAGAGGTCTGGGGTGTGACTGGATGAAATCAAGAGTTCTGTGTGGTCCTGTTAGGGTTGAGATGCCTACTAGGCATTTATGTTGGATGTTGGAAACAGAAGTCGGGTTGAGAAGTGTGGAGTTCGGGCATTGCCACTGTGGAATGCAATTTACAGCCACAGAGCTGGGTGAGGGTGTCTCAGGGGAGTATGTAAATAAGAGAAACTGAGGACAGGGCCAGCAGTGTGCGAAAAATAAGAATCAGACAATCTTTTGATTATATACATATTGAATATAAGGAACTGTTCGAAATCTTATGATTCCACTGCAGTAGTTAAACTCTGTATTATTTCAATATGGGTTTGGTACTTATTTTGAAAAACTATTGGTAGTGAAAGGCTAGAGATCACAGTCGGGTACATAAAAAAGACATTACAAAAGGCACATTTCTCTTACTCTTCAAAGAGTAAGAGAAATAAATAAATAGCTCCATATTTATTTAATACTTAAAAAAATGTTTATGGTGAAAAGCTTAAGGATCATTTTCAGGTAGCTAAAACAGTTTTACAAAAGGAACATGCCTCTATTTTCAAAGAGTTTCTTTGTAAATTGAAATGACAAATAGAAATAAAAGAGACAACCTGAAACTATAAATATAAAATAGTGAAAATCAAACTTGGGGTTCAAATATTAAATAACATCATAAAATTTAACATCAGGTCAAGAATTGTTTCTTTCTATGAAAATATCAATTAAAGGGAAAGAAAAATCTCATAGTTAACAAAGGATGTAGTAATTTCTTGTGTTTAAATTTATTGGGACCCTTGACATAGATGACTTCCTCTTATTAAAACTTTTCTACCTTGAAAGCAAGAAGCTAATCAAGGGCACTTGCAGAGACAGCACCTCCTCTAAAAAGTCAGCGGCAACAAAAACCAAGAACTGGCCATGTAACTAACACCTTTGAAAATACCTCATAGATTTCCTTTTTGTGGTTACTTGTTAGTGAGGTTCCAGCAGGGTTGTTGCCATTTGGGACAGTATAAAGAAATTTGGGGGTGTTTTTCCTGGGGTTCTTTGAATCTTCTGGTCTCCATTTGGAAAGTATTGCTTTGAGGGACTCTGGTATAATCCCATATTCATCACTGGGAACACTAATAATGTTGCAGCCAAGTGGTTGTAGCTGTTGAGCACAAAGGAAAAAAGAAAGCCCAAGATTCAGAACTGATAACAAAATGATTCTTATACTGAGAATGTTACCCTTGATACCGTTAAACATACAACCTGCACTCAGCTCTACCTCCAGAGGGTTCAGCTTGTATATTCTAATCCTGTTGTTGACCTGGGGCAGATCCCATTATCATTCAAAAATAGCCCATCAATTTCCAGTGGAAGGATCACACTTCCCTGCTCCTGTAAGCTAGGCTTGGCTGTGTGTCTTGCTCTGGCCAATAAATTGTGAGCAGAAGTAGTGTGTGTTCCTTCCAAGCAGAAGCTTCAAAATCCACTTTGCACTTCTGTGTGTCTTTCCCCTCTCTGCTCTAAGACTCAGTGTTCCAGAAAGAGACTGCTTCTGTCAGCCTGGGGCTTGGGATGAAGATGACATGAAACATAGCTACAGTCACCTTGCAGTAGACATGCAGTGTGGGAGAGAAAGAAGTCTTTGTAGCTGTAAGCTATTGAGACACTAGGGGCATTTTTTGTACAGCACAACCCAGCCTCTTCTGATTGAATTATCATTATAAGTATAGTTAGAAGTGATTCATAAAGTAGGTGTTTATTAATACATTTTTTGATGGAGCAATTCTATAAAGCATCTGTTATGCTAATACATAAAAGAGTTTACAAGTGAAGGGAGCATTCAAAATATTTAACAAGTGCTGTAGCAATGGGTACATCCATTACCCCTGCAGGCTGCAAGGGGGTCCTGGAGGCTCCCTGCCAGCATCAATTCTGCATCATGGGACGTTCAGGGTGGTCTTGGGAGACTGGGAAAACCAGGGTGTGATGGGGCACTGGGCAGCAGCTAACCAAGGAGTGTGGAAGCATTTCAATGTTTTACCACCTGCTAAGGCTGAACTGGCAAGTAGTGGCCTTTGCTTACCCCATGTAATTTTATAAAAGTACTGTGGAATCTTATTCTTGGATAAAAAACAGACATTTAAAAAATCAGAAATGAAGAAACAGCAATAACTGAATGAGGTTCTCAAAAAATTTTTTCAAAGGATAAGCAAACACTCTTTTTAACAGTCCAATGCAGAATTATGCATTACCTTGCTTATGCCAAATGTAAATGGTCCTTGATGGGTGGAGATGAGAGTTTGGGTGGTGAGCACAACGCAATACACTGATGGTGTCTTATAGAGTTGTACACCTGACACTTGTTTAATGTTATTAACCAATGTCACCCAAGTAAATGTCATAAAAAATAAAAGGTCTTATACCATGAATAAAACAAATTTATATTGGGCCATGAAATGGACAATATTGCTTGTTAGCATACTTCCTCATGGCTTGGCACACAGTTTCTGTTTTGGTGTGTAAAAATGTTTTGTGTGTTTGCATGCATGCTGTTTATGTAGACACAAGTTTTATATTTACAGGCATATGTAATCATAAGTTTTAGGAATTTAGAAAAATAATAATTAGTGTCAAATCATTATAAAAAAGCAATTACTTAATTTTTTTTAACTGAGGTAAGATCTATATAAAAAATCTGGCCATTTAAAAGTGTATAATTCAGGCCCTGGCTGGTGTAGCTCAGTGGATTGAGCACGGGCCTGCGAACCAAAGGATCCTGGTTCGATTCCCAGTCAGGGCACATGCCTGGGTTGCAGGCCAGTTCCCAGCAGGGGCCAGTTCCCAGCAGGGGATGCATGAGAAGCAACCATGCATTGATATTTCTCTCCTTCTCTCCTTCACTTCCCTTCTAAAGATAAAATCTAAAAAATAAATAAAGTTATTAAAAAAATAAAAGTGTATAATTCAATGCCACTGATTACATTCACGGTGTGTGCACCCGTCACCACCATCAATTTCCAAATTCTCTTCATCACCCCAGGCAGAAACTCCGTACTCACACTCCTCCCTCCCCCTAGACCCTGGCGATGTCTGTTCTGCCTCTGTCTCTATTAATTTACCTGTTCTAGGCATTTCGCACGATGTGTGTCCCTTGTGCCTGGCTCCTTTCAGTTGGCATAATGTTCCCAAGGTTTACCCGTTGCAGCATGTGTCTGCAACTTTGCTCCTTCCGTAGTTGAGTGGTATCCCACTGTGTGTACAAACTACATTTTGTGTACTTATCCACCCGCTCACGGACACCTGGGTTGCTCTCACCTTTTGGCTACTGTGAGTAATATTGCAGTGAATGTGTGTGTTTCTGTTCGAGTCCCAGTGTTCACTTCTTTCTGGGTATATACTAGGAGTGGAACCGGTGAATCAGACATGGTAATTCTTTGTTTAAATTTTGAGGAACTGAAAAAATGGTTTCCACAGTAGCTGCACCATTTTACATTTCCACTAATCATGTACAAAGGTTCCAATTTCTCCACATATCCACTAATATTTGCTATGTTCCATTAAAAAAACAGCCATCCTAGTATGAGTGAAGTCATCTTTCCCTCTGGTTTTGATTTGCATTTCCCTGATGACTAATGACGCTGAGCATCTTTTCATGTGCTTATTGACCATTTGTATATCTTCTGTGGAGAAGTGTCTGTTCAAGACTTTGTCTATTTTTAAATTTGTTTGGTTTTTTGCTGTTGAATTACAGACCTTTATATATTCTGGATATTAATGCCTTATCAGATATATGATTTGCAAATATTTTCTCCCATTCTTTAGGCTGTCTTTTCACATTATTCGTAATATCGTTTGAGGCTTAACAGTTAATTTTTTAATGAAGTCTAGTTATTTATTGATACTTGTTGTTGCTGCTTGTGTTTTTAGTGTCATATCTAAGAATTCAGTGAGAAACACAAGTTCAGGATTTGCCCTTATGTTTCCTTTTACAAGTTTATAGTTTTAACCTTACATTTAGGTCTTTGATTCATTTTGAGTTAAGATTTTATATGATGTGGAGTAAGGGTCCATTTTCTTTCTTTTTTCATGTGGAAATCTAGTCCTCCCATCATGATTCATTGAAGAGACTGTTTTTTTCCTACTGAATTGTTGTGGGGGCAGCTTTGCCCGCAAAGTCCCCCCGTCCGCCATGGATGAAAGTGAAACTACCAAGACATGATCTGCTTGGGGAGGAGAGGTGGTCAGTCTCTCAGAGGAGAAAGGCCAAGAGCCCCTTCGTCAAGGGGCTTTTATTGGGTTCGTTTTTCACAAGAATACAGGTAAGGATCAAACAATAGATAGTATTCGAAGAACTATGAGGGCTTATTCTCAGTCAGGGTCAGATGGCTAAAGAGCCATAAAACTTTGAGGAACAAACTTCTTACTTGGACCCTTATCATTTAAATGAGAGCACTCTAAACAAAGCAGGCTTCACAGGACTTTTAGGAACTCTTTCTTATGCCCGATCACCCCAGATCCTACTCTAGCCAGCGAGGGGCTACACTGCCTCCCCCATCATAGGTTTTTAGGCTTAAATGGATTAGAGCCAGGAAGCACTTCTCCCAGATGGAAATGGGGACTCAGGCTCTGTCAGAATAGCCAGGGGGGACGAGGGTCCATCACTCCCTCTTTGTTGCAGCCCCTCCCCCCGTCCTTCCATGATGGCCTCCCAAGTGATTGCGTCTGGCTTAGGTTGCCCCTCTCTGAGAGGTTGTACCCATCATAGACTAGCCGATCAAACACTGAGGGCAGGGGACAAGCTTTGTCTCCTTAGTGGCTTGCATTCTGGAGGTCCCTCACTCAGCCTTAGCCATAGGAGGCAGTTACAACTCCTGAAACCAGGCAGAGCGGTTCCCAGCAAACGGTTTTAGTACCCTTGTGAAAATCAATTGGCCACAACTGTATGGGTTTATTTCAGGACTCTCAATTCTGTTCCATTGGAATGATGTCCTATCCTTATGCCAGTACTGCACTGTTTTGATTACTACAGCTTTGCAGATGGTTTTAAAGTGGGGAAGTGTGAGGGCTCCAATTATGTTCTGCTTTTTCAGGGTTCTTACGATCATTAGGGCCCTTCCCAATCCCATATGAATTGGAGGATTGGCTTTTCTATATCTGCACAAAGACTATGAACATTTTGACAGGGATTGTACCAAATCTGTAGCTTGCTTTGGCAGTATTGACATCTCAACAATATTAACTCTTTCAGTCCATGAATAGGTGATGTCTTGGATGTTATAAATGAAAATTGTTTTTTAATTTTCTTTTCAGATTGTTCTTTGGAAAAAGAAATTTTTATAATATCCATTTTATCTCTACTTGGGGGTGTTGAATAATATAACTTTCATGAAGACTAGTTAATTGATCTATATATTGATTTTAAAGAAGGTTATCTAAATTTTATTTATTTTTTAGAAACATGGGAAAGGATGGAGAGAGGGAGAGAAACATTGATGTGGGAAATATCAATCAATCGCCTGTCACGTGCACCCCAACTGGGGACCAAAACTGCAACCCAGGCATATAAATTGAACCAGGGATCTTTTGCTTTGCAGTGCAATTCCCAACCAACTGAGCCACACCAATCAGGGCTATATATCGATTTTTACAAAGGTCATTTTAAATTTGAATGAAAAAGAAAATCAATGAAATTAGAATCAATAGAGCATAAAGGTCATCTCATTCAACTCCCCTACTTTAGGCTAGAATTAATTCTGCAATATTTGTGTTAGGTGGCAATCAAGCGTAATCAAAGCACCTGCTGTGACGGGCAGCACTTTACCTGCTTAAGGAGTAGGTAGTTGGACGGATAGTTGGAAAGTTGTTATACTGAGTTGGAATCGCTTCCCTGTGGTTTCTAGCCTTTGGTTCCAGTTCTCTCACCTAAGGACATGCACAAACGAATCTAATTCCCCGGTCACATGCTGTCTTCTATGTATTTGAGGACAGTTCTCATATGTATTGAGTCTTCCATTTTTTTTTTTTTTTTTTTTCAGAAACAGCCACAGTTTCTAAAATCATTCATCACATAGTATGGTTTCCAGTTTCCTAGTCACTCTGATTATTCTTCTTTGTTCCAATTTGAATACTTATCTATCCTCAAGTATTGTGGCCCGAACAAACCTAATTCTCAGCTGTGTGTTCTGACCAAGTACACAGCAGAGCCAGATGGTCCGTTTCCTTTTTGTGGTTATTATAGTCCCATTAATTTAACATGGGAGTGGAAAGCCCTAATTATACCATATTAGTTTACAGTTATATTAACTTGACATATAATATGATTATAATTATGCATATGATAATTACAGATGGCAATGAAAAAATAAGTTTTTGTAAACTGTCACATTTCAAGTGAAATCTTAAGAAAACTGGACATGATTTTGCACAACCTAATTTTAGCACCTGTTCATTTAAATTTGGTAACAAGAAATGTATAAAGTAGAGGGTATATTTAACATAGTTGGCATATATCATTTAAGATTCTCCTATTTACAGATAAAAGATACTATTTTAATTTTCAGTGGACAGATAATGCTAAAGGTGCAATAGTTTCTTCTTATTTATTATAAGAAAGAGAGTTACCTTTTACAGAAATGTATACTCACAGCTTCAAGTGTTCCTGAATAAACAGGTTCATTTAGGAGGACATTATCTCCACTCTCAGTGAGCATTTCAAACACCTAACAAAAGAAGCATACGTTAGCTTGGACAGTACTGTTTCCATTCTTAGGACAACGCCCACCCTTTCAGTTTTAGCTCATCATGGCTATAGGTTAGAAGTTGGTGAGGGCCACAGACAATACAGGAGCAGGCAAAAGTAGGTTTACAGTTCTGAGTACATGAAACAGAACTTATTCCTTTATCACTATTATTATAATCATAACCTGCATGTCTTCTTCCATACAACTGGAAACCTAATTTTGCCTATCCCTGTATGTAAACCAATGAGCGTGGCTGAGTTCCAATAAAACTCTATTTACAAAATCAGATAAAGGCTGGTTTTGCCTCTCAAGCCAGTTAGCTAACCTCTGTTCTAGGGTAACATGAAAAATAACATAAACATAACTAGTTTGGCTCCCAAAATTCATTTATCCTTTCATTTCTTCTTTGTACATGTATTAAATATTTACTATAAGCCAGCCCTATAGAAGACAAAGTGATGACGTGAATAACATAATGGCCAATTTTTACCCTCATAGAGATACTAGTCCACTAGGAAAGCTGGACACTAATCAAGTAATCACTCAAATAAATGTCTATGTACACCAGTGATGAATGCTATTAAGTACACATGCTCAATGCTGTAAGAGCTTGTTATAGGAGGACTTGGGCATTCACAAAATGTAGGGCATTCAGAGGTTTCCCGGAGGAAGTGATGAGGTGGGGGAGGGTTGACAATGGGTACGCTTTGAGAAACTGAAAGAATTCTGTGGCTGGAATCAGAGTTTAAGAGGAGGATAGGGTGAGATCAGACAAATGTGAGCTGAACCCACACCATGCAGGCACTGGGCCAAGTGAGGCCAGTGGGATCACATTATCAGATATACATTTGGAGATCATTCTGGCTATAATATGAAAGAATTAAAGATGAATGAGAACACATGTGGAAAGTTTGGGAGGTTTTATAATTATTCAGGGCAGACAGATACAGGTAGTCTGAAGTAGGACAATGATGATGGCGTTGGAGAGGAGAGCTGAGAGGTACACAGGAATTTAAAACCGATGGACATAATCATGGACTACAGGGGAGGAAGAAGAGGATGTGTCAAGAAGGACTCCTGGATTTTTGGCTGTGAAACTAGGAGGACGGTGGGAGTGGAGCCATTCGCTGAAAGGCAGGCCCAAAAGGCTGTCCAGGTATGCGGGAGAAGTGATGATGTCAGGTGGACAGATGGACAAATGGACTTGGAAGGAGCTTGGAAGTTACCAGCCTGATTGATCACATGGGTGTGAATGGAAATACCCAGGGAGTGTGTACAGATTCAGGGGAGCAAAGGTTTGAGGCCTCAGCCTGAGCAACCAATAAATGATGGCTGAGTGGAGGGACGCTGCCATGGAGGCAGGGCAGGCGGGCTGAAGGAGAGCCACCTAGTGCGGCCGAGAGCGCCAGGGCAGGAGAATGATTCAGATTGGGTGGGGGAGGTCAACGGTGTCAAAGGATATTTAGAGGTCAAGTCAGACAAGACTTGACAAATCTTAAAGAGATTTTGCTGACAGTATAATGCCTACTGATATCAATGGAGCTAGACGGTAGATCTTTCCAGTCTAATCAAATGGGTCTATTATGACTAAATCTTACATAGTCACAGAATAATCCTTTCTTTTCTTGTTAAAGATTTTATTTATTTATTGTGAGAAAGATGGAAAGGGAGGGAGAAGGAGAGGGAGCGAAACATCTGCGTGAGAGAGAAACATTGACTGGATTGATTAGTTGTCTCTTGCACACACCCTGACTAGGGATTAAGCCGGCAACCCAGGCCTGACCTCTGACCCAGAATCTATTGCTTGTGACCTTTTGCTTTGTGAGATGACACCCAACCAGCTGAGCCACGGAGATCAGGGCAAGTAATCCATTCTTGCCTTGTGTTTTTTCACAACCCCCAGTTCAAACCTTTCCTTCCCATATTTTTAACACCACATCTCTTGACAAATGGTACGTATGGCTACTGTTGATTGACACAGAAGATTTAACTTTTTTTTACTGATTTGGCCTAGGATGTTCCCTTGACCTTTTCCTTATGAGCTTTGGCATCTTAGGACAAACAGTATCCTCCTCTGAAAAGTTTCTAATGGATTCAGGCTTTACATGATATCCAGGACCAAGCAAATTATGTGGGTGGTCTGTGGGTTGTCAATAGATCAAATGAAAACTTAAATACATTTTACGTGTCAACTAGGGGACACAAGGGTGTCAAATATGCCAAATGAGGAGGAGGGCTCCTTGTTATCTGGCAGAACTTTTTAGTAGCTGTAGACAGAAACACAGGCACCTAAAATAGCATCTATCCTGGAGAACAAAGGGGAAGAGATACTAAACCAGATTCCCACTAAGGACTCTATAATAAGCATATCTACAAGTAAGTGAATTATTGATGTATTTGGCCACCCACGATATCTTTCTTCTTTGATATGACTGATGCTGTAACAGATAAACTGTCTGGAACATTTTTCTGTAAAAAGAAATTCACAGTATACTTTCCTAAGAAAGAATTTCATGGATTAGAACTCTTTTGTATTGGTGTAAGGAATCACAAGTGTTTCTCTTCAAGCAACAACTTTAACAGCAGCTAATCCTTTTATTTTTCCTAGTTAAAAAAGATCGTTTAAGGCCATACCACCCTGAACACGCCTGATCTCGTCTAATTAAAAAAGATGGAGGAAAAATTATAAAGATTCTTATTCCTTCAATTATTCTGTAATAATAATCTAACTGAAATTCATTAACATTAACCAGATTATAGCTTTCACATTTACATAAAAAAAGAAGAAAATGGAAGCTTACTCTATTTTAAGGTCAATAAGAGTCATATTTTAATCTAGAAGTAAAGACTGAAGATAGAGAATCTTTACCCAGGACTAACTAGTCATGAAAGAGAAGAAAACAGATAAAACAGAACCAGGTACAATGTCTTTTGGTGGTTACATCCATGAAGCTCCTGGAACCCAGAAGAGAGGGAGGGTGGGAGGGAGGGGAGGGCGTGGAGAGGGGGAGAGAGAGAGAGAGAGCCCCAAGAAAAGACAAGACACAAGCAGTGCCGAGCACTGGGGACTACGTATACAGGCACGCAAAGGACTCATGTCATCTGAAGAGTGTCAGGATATGCCCTCTAAAAACTGAACACTTACACTGAAGTTTCATAACTGAAACCACATAGAACAAAATGTAACCTGAGTTTTTGAGCCCGATGAAATTGAGCAGTGCTCACTACAGCTTCTGGTAGGAGCTGAGTACTTCAGTGGGAATCCTGTTTGCAGGCCTCATAGCTCTGGGTCACTGACTACATGGTCTATGTGTAAGGAAAATCAGGTTAGTGAATGTCATCAAGTTCCCTGTTTATTACTCTAGGTAAAGACAGGAAAGACTATCAGTAATTCACAAAACGTGATCTTCTGGTTTGTCAGTGAGACATGAATGTATTTATGAATACTTGATTTTTAATGTGGGGCACCCTTTCCTTTCAGCTTTACCTTACAAAGACCATCTTGGCTGCCAGTTGTGACACATATATCCATTTCTTCTTGGCTCGACAGGCGATGGAGGGTGGGAGGATTATGAAGTCTTAATTGTAACTGTTTTAGCCAGGACAACAGCTCTGGGATTCTAAAGCATAAAATATATTTTCAAATTTATAGTAGTAACAATTATAATAATAGACAGGAATTAAGTTGTAGCTATATACTTTAAAGTTACTATATAGTTATACTTTAAAGTATATAGCTGTACCTAGCTGTAGCTAGGTACTTTATACATTCGGTTTCTAAATCCTCAAAATTTTTTTGCCAATATTAATATCCCTATTTACAAGAAAAGGCCACAGACTTAGAGATTAAGAAATTCACATAAACTTAATCAGCCAGTGATGAAATGAGCTGATATATGAGTCTACATCTTTTTTAGTCTAAAAACCTACAGTCTTTATTTTACTATAGAGCACTCACTTAATAATCGATTCTTTGTTCTCTTTAGGAAAATTTTCGTAAGTTACCTAGAAGTTTAAGCCCCCAAAGTTCTTTGTATCATGGAAGAAGAGGTCTATGGATATGTTACATATCATTCATGTATATATAACCTGTACTGCATTTCAATATAGTTTCCCATCACAGAAGAAAGAAGCCTTTAATAAAGCACAATTTATAGACAATAAAGAAGACCAGCTAAGGAAAATCTTAAAGGCAAGCTAGGTATTCTAGTTTGCCTTTAAGAACTAAAGAGGTCTGAACTGAAGGCAACATGTTTGCACAGTTGGGAAGATCTCAGAAAATCGCCCCAGGACTTGAAACTGCTGCTTCCTGGATCATCCTTTTGCTCCCTTCTCCCAGCCCACTTCTCTACCTAGCTATCTTCTCATTTTTTTCAGTCTCAGCTCAGTAGAGCACTTTCTTCCAGAAGCCTTCAGACTCCCCCAGTCATGTAAGCGTGAGAAGTCCCTGAGGAATGTGAGCATTAAGTGTTCAATATTCTGTTGCTCTTAATTCTTTGAAAATTCTTCCCCCAACCTTCCTGTTGACTGCCCATGAAAAAAAAGATGTCAGTTTATCAGTGGCCTTTACAATATTGCTCATGAAAATGAGTTACCCAGCACTTTGAGAATACTGAAGTGCTTTCTTCATTATCTCTTCATCAAATTGGATGACCTTTCCATCGTCCGCGGTGATAACAGCAGTCTTAAAAGGAAACAAGTTCGGATTTGGTGATCCCGCAGCCAAGGAGATGACTGATTTCGGTGACCGCAGCATTATCTCACCTACAACAAATACGGAAGAGAAGAATTGACACTTTCACTGAAGACTTTCTAAACAACATAGTTCAGTATGTTGTGTTACAGTCAATACAACTGTCAAGTGATAGGGTGCCAATCTAAGATAAACTTAAAATAAATCTGCCCGGACCTACCTCACTGGTGGAGGAACTGAGGAATGGAGGCGTCCAACTGAGAAGGCAGAGTGATGGGGAAGATAAGTAACAAAACCCTGCTCCATTTAGCCCCTGCCTGCTTGACAAGCCACACGGCTCACTCCGCATCGGCCTGCACACTGCCCTACTTAGTTCTAGGAAGGGCCTGCCTATGCAGCACGCCTCCTCTCTTCCAAGGCTGAGTCCTGCAACAGCTTGTTCTCTGTTGTAGCTCCTTTCCCGCCTTCAGTTCCAGCTCGAATGTGTGTTTGCATGCAAGGCCTGGCTCACATTGAGCTTTCACAGTTGAACTAATGACTGCAACCAAGGGGTGCAGTCATTCTGCAGGCACCACCCAGAGGCTCTAAGAAGACCGTCCCTGCCCCCATCCCAGGAAGAGGGACTCTGCCCCAGCACTCACTCAAAATTCGGATGGGAGAAGGCCTTCTTGCTGCGCTCGATGCGGTGATGAACCGTGCGTAATTCATGCCTCTGATATCCAAGCACCAAACTCCTTCCTCAGTTGTTAAAGACTAGCACAACCAAACACTAGGGCTGCCTCTTTGTTCTCTCTCCAAACGTCACCTTAGGTGACTCCCGCCCTCCTCCCCGCAAGGGGTCTGGTTTCTCAAGCGCAGTGCTGGAAAAGCGTCGCTGAAACTCCCGCACTGGAGGCAGCCCTGCAGTCAAAGTCCAGTTGCAAAAGAACCGTTCACCCCATCTCTGGCGCCTATAAGCTCCGGTTGCCGCGGGGGAGGAGGTGGGTTGGCCTGGCCACACCCCCTCCCGCCCGCCCCACCCCGCCCCGCAGCCTATAGCGAGCCCGCTGTACGCGTAGCCAGATCCTGAGCTCTGGCCTTCTGCCCGGGAGCAGGCAGGGGGCGGGGCAGGTTGGGGCTCGCGGAGACGCACTGCAGACCGCGCCGAGTGCCTGAATCAGTTGGAAGCTTGTACGACTCCTTGCAGCTGGGAGTCGTCTCAGGAAAGTGTCCCTCTAGGCAAACACACGGGGTCAGAAATCTTGCTGTGGGGCTAGTAGGGGATAGGGCCGGATATTCACCCGGAACCTAACCCGTTGAGTACAGTCTGGCAGCTTCTTGGGTTCTTCGCAGCAAGCTCCCAAGAGGGCATTCAGCCAGGTGTTTGTGCGCCGAGCTTTCCTGCGCTGGTGCTTACCTGGCTGGCATGTGGGGACACAGAAAGTGATTTAACCCGTCGGACCACTGTTGTGTAAAATGTTGTTCCCCCCCCCCCCCCCTTTTTTAAAAAAACACAAGTATAGGCACTATTCTGGGAAAGCCAACAAGGCGACCCAGATGATCTCCAATGTCACTTTCTCCAAATTGGAGCATTTTAGAGTGAGGGTGGAATGCTGATATTTAAAAAAAAAAAATCACCCTGAGGATTTCAAATTTTAGAGTGTCTCTCCCTTCGATTTTTTTGACCATTCATTATGAGCTTAGATTGGAAGTGTATATCCAAAGAGATTCATCTGTTTGAGGCAAGCACCTTGCCCTTTTTTTCTTACAGAATAACCCTCCCCATCTTCCACTTCTCACCTCTCCATCCCATTCTCTGTGGGATTTCTCCTTCCTGATCGCCAGCATGGAATGCACAGGGTTTCTATGTGAGCACTTGTGAGATGATTTTGAGACAATCTTATCCTTTAATGGGTAGTTGAAAAGTCATTTGTTGTTAACAAATTCAAAACTAGATTCATCCATTCAGCAAACATTTACGAAGTACTTCCTGGATGAGTATTGATGCAGCGTCAGAGCTCCCTTCCAGACATAAACAGATTGGTCCAGAGAAGATCTAACTGCTCTTATCTGGGTCCTTGCAACGAAGGATGAGGTAACCAGTGAAATCTATGCCATCAGCTAAGTAACAAGGGAATATCATTAGTAAAGCTGCCAGAAATCCAAGAGGCAGTACAGTTTTGGAGTCAGACATTTGAAGTGGTTTAAATTCTCCTCGATTTACCAGCTGGTTGTCTTTGGACAAATTACTTAATTTTTCTGTGCATTATTTTTCTCACAGGGTTGTTGTTGGCAGTATTAAATGAGATTATCTATATTAGGATCAGTAACACAGTGGCTTGCACACCTTAAAAGCACTCAGTAAATGTTAGCTGCCTCTTTTCCCTGGTATATATAAATTAATAGTGGGAGTAGAATGTTGCTATAACAAAAATCTAAGATATGTGACATTGGTTTAATAGTTGGGTGGTGGATGATGATAGATTATTTCTGAAAAAGTAGAAACAGTTAATTCCAGTCATACTGTGACAAATCATTTGGTGAGTTCTTTCTGGCATGCACAACAGATCAAAGAAAAGAAAATACTCCAGGTCAAGCATAGAATTTCATTATCATTAAAGTATAATTTCCAAAAAGTTAAAAAATCATGAGCCACATACATATGTTAAATGAGCATGTGTGAAGCATTTTATTTAATTCATTTGAGGAAACCTATACACCATTAATATGGCTTGAATTGATAATTTGTCTTACAGAGATTTATATTTTATACAGGGACAAACTTTATTTGCATTGCCACAAACAGGTTATAAAAAGTATATAACTCATTTGGGAAATCATTTTGCAATATATACATATATCAAATCACGTTTTGTGTCTTAACTTCACACAAAGTTATATGTAATTTTATCTCAATAAAGCTGGAAAAAATAGAATTATATGTGCAAACGATATTTTTAAGGCATATATTGTTTTATTTAGCAGAAGAAAATGCTACGCGATTATTAGGAGATTGTTGCTAACATCCGAGCTAACAGTTTAAGGTGCTGTTGTTTTACAAGTTATCACACTTAGTCATGAGGATTCGTTGGGTTTGACTGATGTTTCAGACTCAACTCTGAAAACAGCTTGCTTAGCTAATGTGGGGGGAAAATGCTAAAACCTGGAATAGGATGTTTAAACATGGGATACTTTAACAATAGCTTGGAGAAGAAGTAGAGAAATGCACATTGCTACTTTTATTATTGTAAAATTCTAAAACTGCAGGATGATCCACTTGCATTTTTTTCATCTCCTCAGAGAGTTTGCCTGTAGGCAATAGTGGAAATTAAAACTGGCAATGTGAGCATGGCATTAATCCACGTGAACACCTTGCCTGCAGACAGACAGCAATGGGATTTACTGAACAATAGAAAAATGTTCTTACTTGCCAGGTTCTAGGGTTTGTTGTGGCTGCTTTTGTTGGATGTGTGGGTGCTGGCAGGAATAGCTTCATCGATATGTCACTTTGCTTTCCAGGTTTGACTTGATGGACTGGGTGGCAGGGCACGTGAGTGTCTCTTCCTTCTCAGCTGCTCCATGCGGGATGTTACGGCGGCTGTCTCTTGTGAAGAGAGTCTAGTGTCTGTTTGTTATTATTCATAAAAGCACACAGAGCCTCTAAGGGAGGCTGGAGCATGCCTGTGAGGTGCCAGTAGTGCAAGGGGATGTCGTCGTCAGCAGTGTGCCCGCCTTGCAGGGAGGCTCTGCTTGGGACTTGTCCTGAGAGGGATGAAGCTTTCAGTGTGGGCTTTATTGGGGTCTGTAGTCTATTTTTTATTCTTATTTATTAATCCTTACTCAAGGATATTAAAAAAATTGATTTTAGAGAAAGGGGGTGGAGGGTGGGGGCGGAGAGAGAGAGAAAGAGGTGGAGAGAGAGAAACATTAATGTCAGAACATTGATCGTTGCCTGCCATATGTACCCTGACTGGGGATTGAACCTACAACCTTTTGGTGTATGGGACAGTGCTCTAACCAACTGAGCCATCCAGCCAGGGCAAGATGAATATAAGAGTTTTGGTGGATAGCACTCATTAGGTGAGTTAAAGCTTCATTCTTCACAAGTGTGCACAGTTGTATTATAATGTATACCACTGGACAGTAGTTCCCTCAGGAGGATAAAAATACATAGAAATTGCCTTTGAAAATCAGAATTTATTTAACAAAACTTTTGATAGAGCAGTTAAAAAAACACGCATATGGATATTATATACATTTTTTTACTAATTCTCAGGCTAAAAAATTAAGATTGTAAGTTGAGGAATCAACAAAGATAAGAATTATTTTTACACACATGTCTAGTGATTCTAAATGCTTTTGGATGTAACCTGAGTGTGTTTTAATAAACATTGTACTATAAGGAGGAGCTGTTTCAACTTGGTTGAGACAGAATGTAAAGTTTTTTGTTTTTGTAACACTTAGCAAGAGAAGTAGGTATTCTCACTGAAGCTACTCTTCTGAGATTAGACTTTTAAAACAATTTGGTTGAGTTCACATGTTCAAAGTCCAGAGGATTGTTTGGAAGAAGGACTTTTTCATCCTCTTTAAATTCAGGAATGAGTCCAGCATTTAGAAAAGATTCAAATTCCTTGAAAGTTAATGCTCAGGCAAGCATGCATACCGAACATCTCTTGCATGATGTTCTTTCTGGCAACGTGATAATCAGTGTGCCCAATCACCCAGATCATGGCAAGGAGCTTCCACTTGATATTGTTAGAAATACAAATGATGAAGGAGGACAAAGATTTTGGAGTGAGAAATTTTAAACTGGTGCAAAATTGACATTATTCTCTTGTCACTTATAACATCTTCGACCTAAGGTATCTTTCCCCCCAACATTAGAGACTTACTTATTTAGTTTTCAGGTTTATTGAGATATAATTGATATGGTTGTTACATTATGTAAGTTTAAGATGGACAGTGTGATGGTTTGGTACATTTATATAGTGAGAAATGATTACCATGGGAGGGCTGACACCTCCGTCACCTCACGTAATTATTTCTTTCTGTTGTGAGACTTCTTTTTAATTTAAATTATTTTATTGTTGTTCAATTACAGTTGTCTGTATTTTCCTCTCCCCCCTTCCCGCCAGCCCCCTCCAAACCCACCCCCCTCCCTTGCTTGCACCCTTCCCCTTGGTTTTGCCCATTTGTCCTTTTTTTATTTTACTTTTTTTGAACTTATATTGCCTAAAGCATTTATTTATTTATTCATTTTAACTTTGCCAAACTAGTTCATTATGTTTTTTAAAATTTATTTATTTTAATTGTTGTTCAAGTACAGTTTTCTGTCTTTTACTCCCAGCCCAGCTCACCCCACCAGTGCTCCCCTCTCCCTCCCATTTCCACCCCCCTTATTTTTTGTCTATGTGTCCTTTATACTTGTTCCTGTAAACCCTTCCCCTTTTCCCCTGAAATTCTCTCCCCTCTCCCCTCTGGTCCCTGTCAGCCTGTTCTCTATGTCAGTGTCTTTGGTTATATTTTGCTTGCTTGTTTGTTTTGTTGTTTAGGTTCCTGTAAAGGTGAGATCATATGGTATTTGTCTTCCACCACCTGGCTTATTTCACTCAGCATAATGCTTTCCAGTTCCATCCATGCTGTTGCAAAGGGTAGGAACTCCTTTTTTCTTTCTGCTGCATAGAATTCCATTGTGTAAATGTAGCATAGTTTTTGGATCCATTCATTTACTGATGGGTACCTAGGTTGCTTCCATCTCTTGGCTATTGTAAATTGTGCTGCTATGAACATTGGGGTGCATAGGGTTTTTTTGGATTTGTGTTTCAGGGTTCTTAGGATATAATCCTAGCAGTGAAATTGCTGGGTCAAAAGGCAGATTCATTTTTAGTTTTCTTAGAAAATTCCATACTGTTATCCATAGTGGTTGTACCAGTCTGCATTCCCACCAACAGTGAACTAGGGACCCC